TATATATATATATATATATATATGGTAGGAAAATGCCAATCCAAATGCTTTATTAGGAAGGAATTTATTTCCTTCTCTCAGAATATATTTCACTAATTATGTTTTCTTTTATTAGACAATTCGCATTTTACTGTTTTTCCTAATTTAAAAGGATTCATATTTCCTATTTTGTGGATCGGTATGTCGGCCACACAAATCATGAGAAACCGAGATTTGTGTGCCCCCCTCTAGTTCTTGTTCGCTCGTCCAGCCAAACAGTCGAACCAAGGGTCCTCTTCTCACTCCAGTTCAAGCACCAAGTCTTCTCGATTTAGACTTAAAAGGATTCATGTCATAATTTTTTGACAAAAATTTTACGTTGGGTGTCGCATATCTAACACAACCCTCCACTTTTAACATCTGAGGCATGGGACCCGACAATGAAACAAAATAGATGAAACAACATATTGTTTTACTTTTCTTTGCTTAATTATATGTCCCTTATATTATTTAGGGTAGCCTCTCGAAAGTTAACAAATAAATTTGGATGGATAAAATTTATTAATTCACTTGAGGGGGAGTGTTAAAACGCTTTGTCCAAGCTACCTTTCAAGACTTCTACCCCTCTATAAGCATTTCCCATGACTTTTTCCCCTTGGCACCCGACCCGCCTTTCCTATAACCTACCAAGTCCACTACCAATCTTATTCATATCTTCCTTATATTATTTGGGGTAGCCTCACGTAAGCTAATAAAAAAATTTATATGGATAAAATTTATTAATTTACTTGAGGGAAGTGTTAAAACGCTTTGGCCATGCAACCTCCCAAGACTTCTACCCCTCCCTGAGCATTTCCCATGACATTTTCTCCTTGGCACCCTGCCCACCTTTTCTATAACCTACCAAGTCCACCACCAAGCCTGCCAACAATTGCCATTTTTCTATTGACTTCATTTATTATGTAAAAGAGTAAAGTGCCAAAATAGTCCCCGAATATATACATAAGACCGTTTTAGTCCCACGGTTTATAGAAGTACCAAAACAATCCCCTACTATTTTAGAATTCAGCTCTAATAATCCTCCATGGGGACACTTTCAACCCCAATTTAAAAAGTATGGGGACTATTTTAACACTTCTATAAACCCTGCAACTAAAATGACCCCATGTAAATAATTGGAGACAATTTTGGCACTCAAGTCTTATGTAAAAAAAACAATTAAATGCCTCTTCTTATTCTTTTTATTACTATAATTAGTAAAATATGTCATTAGTAAAGGAATGCCATTGAACAAAGTAAAATTTCCTCTGTTTGTAAGCATATAGCGGAGGAAGTTCATGTAAGCATATAGTGGAGGAAGTTCAAGTACCATCCCCAAATGATCAATTCCATACCTATTTCCTAGACCAGCCACATCCTCCACAATTTCCAGCCATAAAATAAGCCCTTAACCTCATAAAATTCATGCCTACTCTGCTACCCACTATAATAGAAGCAATCCACTTCACAAGACAGGAATTTGTTTAACGCCAAGTCGCTAGGTACGGTGGGACCAGTTTTCTAATAATTGTTAAACATTTACAATAGCATCCTTGCCAACAGGCTGGCATAAAGTTAGGTGATTCGAAAACCAATGGTAATGACTTCAAAAAAAAATTAATAATAATGCCATATAAATAAGATCTCATAAGCGTCAAAACTTTTTAAATTCTAACCTGATGAAGTAGAGGGATCAGCTGAGCGAGTGCCAATAATGTTATCAGACTTATTGCCTGGTGCATCCTTAGCTTTTGATGTGCCACAAGCCATAAAATCTGAATCTATAAAAACATTAGAATCCACTGAAACAGATACTGTTTCTGGAGCATTGATGGTCATCTCTTTATCATTTGCTTCAGAAGAGCACAAGGAAAATGGCTTATCCTGCAATGTTGATGGTGATTGTGACTCAGTTATATCATTCCTAGGTTCGTTTACAATATCATCATCTGAAAAAGATGAAATTGCAGCTTCTTTCAAGTCACCATAAGATTGAAAATCAATAATCTCGGGGGATATATCAAAAAAACATTCCGAGCTGCAATCAACATCAGATAAGTTGCTATGGTGCATTTTATAGTCACTGAGAAGCAAGCTATTTTGTGAAGCCTGAATGCAGCTTCCATCTCTGAGTTGCAAATCTGTTTCAGAATTTTCAATATCTGAATAAAATGAAGATTTTTCTATCACCATATCCACTTTGGAATCAAGCCTATCAAAGAAGGACGTTCCACAATCTGAATTCTGCTTCCCTTCAATCATTGATATGACAACGGCCGTCTCACCATCATCAGCAACAGATACCGATACCTTCCCAGAGAGACAAGAATCTACCGTCCATCCAATATCAGCAGTTTGTGGAGCAGAATATGTCAAAGAGCTTTGCACTGAAACTGCACCTGACTTCTGCGGCACTTCAATGTTTATGCACCTATAAGAAACGTAAGCATCATAAATTGTACAAACCAACTTTATCCAAATGTAAATAGATCATGCCTTCCATAACAAATATTTGGGAGGAACAAAGAACTAGAATGTTCCTCCTCAAAATCAATAATGAACAAAAATATCCACAATGAATGACAAACAATTAATCACATTTGTAATTATAAATACCTTGGGCACAACCATGAATTTCCAGATGCAGATTCAGGATTAAATCCAACACAGAAAGCATGATACCTGTTTTAATGAAATACAAGAAAGCTTAGCAAATTAAGACAGCACACTAGATAAAAAAATGTTTGAATGAAAATGGGGCATTATAATGATTGTTGAGTCAGTATTTATTCAAATTTTTGCACCCAAATGCAATCCATGCCAACAATCATTTAAAATCAGGCTCCACTGCTTCCTTAAAAATAATTGGGAAAGAAGGGAAAAAGAAAGATAAATTACAAGCAAAAAGCAATTTATAATGGAAGAACTAAAATATTTCCACAACTTTGCTTTGGCCTGCAAAAATCTAAATCCCTAAAAGATTCGGAAATCCAAATCATTTGTCAGCGGTAGTCTCATCTGAACAATAGGTGGATCTTCGATGGAGGTAAACTGCTGATCTGACTCAGTCTGCAGCATACCTTGGTCCTGACACTCCTCCAGAACTTGAGTACCCTCTTCTCTCGCAATAGGTGGTTCCAAGACACTTCGACTAGCATTTGCTACAACAAAATTCGTAGTATTTATAATCATAATCGGAGGAAGAGCTGCCTCAACAACAGTAGGCGGAAGCTACTGATCTGGTTGGTGAGGAGCCTTATGAGTCAAAATCTCATTCAACATTTCTGGAAGATTAACAGTGTCTGCTATATTTTCCTCCACATGGATGATGTTGTTAGGACCTGCCGATCTCAAATGTGGATGAAACCCGAAGCATTTGACAGGGGTGTGCCCAAACAGTTTACAGTGATTGCAGTTGTAGGGTTTTTGTTCTGCAACAATTGGTTGTCAATACCCATTGTGGGCAGTACCAAGCCATATTTCGTCCACATGAGGGAGGGTGATATCCCTTTCAACAAGAATTCTTGCAACTGAAGGCCTGGTTAGATTGAAGGTGAGTGGATCCAATTTCATAGGTCTCTCTTGTGCAGCTCCAATATGATAGAGAACTTGGTGATTGAAGTAGTGCAACTTAAAGTAGTGTAGTTGTGATTGAAGTAGTGCAACTTTAGGCCAGGTAGTTTAAAACAGATTGAAACTATAGGTGGTTCTTGGCTAGGGTCGAATTCAGGAGACCACAAGCAGTTTCATAAATTTTCCATCTATTGTCATAAACTTTTCGGAAAATATTTTAGCATAGTCTTCCACTTTAGATAATTGTATCATCACCTGTCTCCCATCAAAGAGGTCAACCTTCCAAAGTCCCAATAGTTTGAGATTTTCAAAAGTCTTTCGAACAATTTTCATTTTAGGATGTCATGATTGGAACTTCCCAATGAGGGTGAATTTGAACTTGTTAGCCAAGTTGGAAACTTTAACATCAAAGAAGAATAGAGCCAGTTTGCCACTCTTTCTACCCGTCTTCTTGAGAAGGTTGCACTCCTCCTGGTCTTTTAATGATTCATGGTAAACCTGAGGGCAAACCTGATCTGATCCCATAGAGCCAACCATATCAACTAAAAAAGCCTTCCCAAGGTTTAAAACAGAAGTAGCCGGTGGTTGAAAAGGAGCAGTAGCCATGGAATAGAGAGTTGAACAGCGGCAAGCTACAAGTTACAAGGATTGAGTCTGGACTGCGAGTAGCACACGTACGTGCAGGGAAAACGGACGCGAGTGCAACAGGAGACGGAGACGGAGCTGCAGGAGACGACGCACGATGCCGCACGAAATTCAGGCGACGGAGCTGAAAACAGACAAAGGGCGGTGGCGAACGAAAAAACATATGACGTGCGAGAAGCTCGAGGAAACCAGACGAAGTCGAGGCGACAAACAGCCGACGTCACACGACACAACAAACGAAGGAAAAGCAAAATCGACAGAGCAGATGCCAGGGTTGGCCATGAGGCGAAACCCTAGCAGAGCGAAGCAGACGAGATCATGGTTTAAGAGGGAACACACACACACACACTCTCTTAAGATCAACAACTATCTCATCCCTTGTTTCCACGACATATACATAATATGCTCCTATCAAAGGATCCTGAAATCAACATACACGCACATGATACTGACAACAATAAAAGTATTTACCTAACTACTTATCAACAATTCCCATTCAATTTTAATTCATATGCACGCACGCACGCACATGCACACACGCACATATATAGAAACAGGGATTTTAGAGTGACTAGCTTCCATCTTTAAGTTTTAAAGAGAGAAGCAAGGAAAAAAATCTAACAGGGTTGCACAACATTAATTATGGTAGAAGAAAACATTAGAAATATATTAGAAAAAGAAGAGTTAAACTTATCAAATTAACAAGCATAATCTTTTCTAAGAAATGTAAAGCCCAGACGATAATTTTTTAAAAGGAGATGGCTCAAATCTCTCGCGGATCAAAAAGGCAGAAAAAATACCCATTTTAAGTTCTTATGAATGGCAAAATTAAAGGTGAAGCAACCTGTACTAACAAGTAAAGTTATCAAACCATAAAAGAACAAAAAAAACATGGTATAAACTTGAACTAAAGATGATTTCCCATTGAAATAATCTTAAATGAAGCATGATCATTTACAAGTGCGATAAGTCTATTTTTATATATGTGAAATTAAACGTAAAATCAAATTGATGATTGTACCATATATCACATGAATCACAGGCAATTGACGTATCAAAACTTAAATCATCTTCAGTTGCTAGCATCGCACATCGTAACTTGCAACCATCATTTTCTAGACATTTCACGGCCTGCAGATAAAAGCGCAAAATTATCCTATAAGCATACTTGAAATATGATTGATTTAGTTCATTTGTAGTCGGAAAATAGATAAGAATGATTACATCTTCGCTGATGTAGTATGATGGAAATGAAAGTGTGTTGTTCTTCCCTTCAAAAGACCAATCCTCATTCCTGCATTAAAAGGATAAAAGTTCTAACATAACTGCCAAGCTGAGATAATAAAGACCAGCGGTTAAATAGTATTAGGATCTGTAATGAACAGAGTTGGGCTTGCATGGTGTTAAAATGTATAAGAACAAAATTTATGTACAAATACAAATCCCAAGATGCACAGACAAAGAATAGGAACGCAAACATGACATGATACAAATAAGCCACAAGAGGTTTCAAACGGTGTATGACAAGGGCTGGACATGACATTTAAAAAATATACTTTAATATTAATAATTAGAAACTCACAACCAAAATAATTATAATAGACATCTTAATTAAATATGATAAAAAAATATAAGTAAATAGACTTATTTTAATCTATGGTAAAAACAAAAGACATTGTTATAACAATAATGTTCATAGAGAAAAATGAACTAGAATAATACAAGAACTTCTAATAAATTTGATTGGGTATAAAATTAAGTTAAAACAACAATTTTGTATGATATGTATCTAGCACCTCCTCATAAAGTGCTCAACAAGAATGTAACAAGTGTACATAAAATGTTACCAAATTGTCCTTTCTTTTTTTTATATTTTGAGACGGGAAATGCCATCGTGGTCTCTCCAAATAAAACATCTTGCAATGTTCGACATGTATTGGCACAATGGCTAGGGCATGAAGCTTCTTAAAGGACTAAGCGAGAAGTATTCAGGGTCATTACCACCTTCATTATATCTTTAAAATTTTCAATGAGCAGCTATTAAAATAGTATACTTTTCATTTTGCATTTAAATTTGTGCTGTAATAGCATAATGTAACTTAGATATACGCTCTAATATGTTTGCTCGAGTACAAGATTAAGATATGCAGAGTTCTGAGATTGTGACCTATGCACCACTTCGAAGGTAATTTTATAACACTGCTACATAGTCATAATAGCAAATTTCAATCATAGGCAATGATAAATTTCTATTTCATAAGCTATAGATTATCAAAAAGACAATGTAGTGATTTCCAATACTCATCACAAATTTACAACTTTTGTATGTCCATTTGTCGATAAAAAGCATTAGAACCTTTTATTTGTTTCCCAATAAAATATTAAAAATATTTCAGAAATACCTCGCAAACCCTGCATCCCTATCAGATACCATGTCAATGGGATGATCACAAGGCAAACAATTTCTTTAATGAATAATTTGGCCACATGAAACTATAAGAAGCATCAACAATCTCAGAATAATAAATGAAATAAGCCATTTTAGAGAGCCCATCGACGACGATGCTAGGGGACGATGCTAGGCTTCATAAGTGTTCCACAAGCCAACTTGATCAGATGCGATGATAATGATAAAAGAAAAACATAATTTCATAAGTAACTGACTCAAAATGTTCCGATCTCATGAAATTTTACCTCACCATCAACAACGTTAAAACTGTACATGAAAGCAAATACGACAAAAAATAGGGTCAAATGGACATATCTTCATAAAGAATTGGCATTTTTCTTGCAAAAAAAAAAATATTCATCCATCACACATTACAACAACAACAACAACAAGTCTTCATCCCACTAAGTGGGGTCGGCTACATGAATCTTTTTCTCCATTGCGTGCTATTGAGTGTTATATTTTCATTTAATTCTAATAAATTAAGATTATTTTTTATAAAATATGCCAAAGTCTTTCTAGCTCTACCTTTGTCTTTCTTAACATAAGTCAAATCTAAAACATCTACTCTCCTAACCGGATCATCAAATGGTCGACGTTTAATGTGACCAAATCATCTAAGATAACTCTATAATTTTATCCGCCACTGGAGCTGCACCAACCCTAACACAGGGCTCATATGGGGGCCCATCTAGCCGACCCTCTTGGAGGGGACTCCACCGCACCTCCTTCCTTTTCACCCATCTTCTTCTTGCCTTGTTTCCCTCCCTTGCCTGTCCTTCGTTCCCAGACCTTTCCTAATTCCAAAACCTTCCTAAAATAGAGATCTAATTTTTGTTCCTTCTCCTAATTTAAAACCTTTCCTAAAAGCCTAAAATCTGATTTGATTTCTTTCCATAAATCTGAGATCCTGATTTTATTTTTATTCTTCTTTCTTAATTTAATTGTTTCCTAAGTTGGGTTAGTCTTTTATAAATAGGAGTTGATGTTTCTAAGGTCAAAGGTCTTGATTTTGAAATCTGAATTCGGCTTTACTTCAGTGCTTTCCCCCTTGAGGGTTGTATCGGACGACGAGGAAGGTACTCCGGCTGTAACCCCATCTGAGGTGGTGTTTATCTTCACCGTTCCGACTAATTCCCGCTGTCCTGCAGCTCACCGATGTTCTGGCTCCTCCAGAATTCCAACCCGCACCTTCCCTGCCTCCCTCCTGCTATTCCAGCACGCCGCATACCAGCAGCCCACCTGCAGTCCTGCTGCCCTGCAGCTTCACCGACATTCTAGCTCTTCTAGCAGTCCAACCGGCAGATTCCCTACATCCCTCCCACTGTTCCAGCGCACCGCCATCCACCCTGCAGCCTGCTGTCCTCCCAGACCAGAAGCCTGCCTGCAGTCTTCCTATTGTCCTGCAGCTCCACCAACGTTCCAGACACCTTCCAGTCGCCCCTACTGCAACCACCTGCATCCTCAGCGCCCTGTTGCTGTCCCAGACTGCCTCCAGCTCCCTTGTAGCTTCCTGCAGGCCCTCCCAGCACCTTCTGCCTCACTCACAGCAGGCGCAACTTCTGCCTCTCACAGCAGGCTGCAGGCCTCTCTCCGGCATCCAGTCCGTTGCCTCCTCCTTCCAAGCAGGACGCAGTGCACCTCAAACCACCCAAGCGCCTCCCGTCGCTGCAGACACTCCCCCTGCAGTCCCTCGGCTTCGGCCGCCACTAGTGTCTCCGCTCCTCGGCTTTGGCCGCCATCCTTGCTGACTACGGATTCCAGCAGCCAACCATGTTCCCACCCTTCCAGCCCCATCTCTCCGAACTTCCTCCTCGCTGAAATTGTTGTCTTGTTAGTTGAGTCCTTGTTTGAATGCTTTGTTTTATGTTCTGATTTACATGATGTCGTTCTTTCTTTTGAGTCATTATTGTAACTGTCTTTTAAGTAACTAATAACTTCGTGTCCTGCGACGTGGTTTGGGGTAACTCCGGTACCAAACCCTATCATGGATACGTTCATTTTGCATTTTGTCTCTAAGTGTAAAGCCCCTCATCCACCTAAGCATCTTATCTAGGCAACACTTAACTTATTTTTATGCTTCTCTGTTAAAGGTCAACATTCAGCGTCATAGAACATTGCAGATCTCACCATCATCTAAAAAAATTTTCCTTTCAATCTAAAGCGGGACTTTCTATCACACAATAGACCGGAAGCATTCCTCCACTTTCAACCAACCAACTTAAATTATACTAATAACATCCTCATCTATATCACCATCACTTTAAACAATAGATCAAAGAATTAATTAAATGTTATGATGTATCCCAAATGGGAAAAATGTTTATATGTTGCTTGAATTTCAAAACAATCTTCACGTGTGAAGATTTGCAGGGAGTTCACACACATGCATAAGGTTTCACAAAAATGAATAATATATAATATATGATATACATAATAAGAATAAGATAAATGTATATATCACAATAATAATAATTTAAGTATAGTAAGTATTACGGCGCCTTCTCTTGGATGATTTTACTAATAAATAAAAGATTGCAGGAAAGCTATGATACAAATGAAACTAAATTTACAACCATGGAGTTCAAAATGTTGATTTTCCAAATACCTATCACTGGAAACAAAATTCGTCAACAATCCTTCTTGCATAGTGCTTAAAACAAGGATGTATTTTGTGAAATAAACATCTCATATCTGGTGGCCTGATGCACCTTAATCGATGAGCAATGATTGGGGCTTTCCAATTTTTGGCTTAAATGCAATCAAAATCATAACTTTTTAAGTCAATTTGGTGTCAATTTCAAGTTTGGTTAGATTTCTTTGGAATTGGCTAAGCGCCTCTTTCGTAAAAATATGCATTTTGCATTAATAAATCAAAAAAATATAAAAACTATGTATGCATGCATCTATGGTATAGAAAAGTGAGACCTGTCATCTACAACTATAGAGGGAAGTTCCCTATCATCATCTACGTGCAACAAAAAGAAAGAACCAAGAAGGGCACACTTAGCACAAAAATGGGTGACCCTATTATATTTTTCTGGTGTATGAAAAAACAACACTTGCTTAAAAGACAGAAAGTTAATTCTGGTGCCTCCTATGGTTGTTGGCACCAAGTGTCCCGCTTCATCTTAGTGCTCAAAAAGTGCATGATATAAGTGTTATCACCCTCAATGATGATACCCTTACATTCACGCATCCAAGGTTGCAAAAGTTTTGGAAGGATTTAGTGGCTTGAAGTTCAACTTAAGTGTTGTCCCAATGCTCAAAAAGAAGGCCAGCAACAAAAAGAGCAAGTCCCCACTCATCCCAAACAATCACGTCGATACCGACCACCCCGAAAGGAAGGAGCGCACCATCGATGTTCACTTTGAGGGGGGGGGGTGCTAAAAAAAAAAAAAAAGAGAGAGAGAACCAACGCAGAGGGTCGACTGGCCTCCCATTGCTCCTAAAATGGGAAAAATGATGTCATGGTAAGTGTCTAATAAATAGTTGTTGCAATAATGGTCGGCGTGTGGCGCACTTGGTTGTGAATCTTAGCTTTGTTGGCCCTCCCACAATAATGGATGACGTAAAAATAGTGACGCGAGAGCGGGATCTCCTGCAGTGGGACGCGGGAGTGGGATCTCCCATAGCGGAAAAGCAAGATTGGGATTTCCCACAGTTGGTAACTCTCGCTATTGAATCAGCCGGCCCAATTGAGACCGATCCAGGATGAACACAAGCTGAGCGGCCTGGGGCGGGGTTTTGACAGGGTGGGACTGCTGTCTGCCCCTCTCCTCCTTCCTTTTATGCTTCTTTTGCATAAGGAAGAATTTTAATGGTTATTTTTAGTTTTTTCTTGC